CACCTCCGTTTATATTACTAGGCACTCCCATAGGATATGTCAAAGGCATAAACGGTTGAGAAGGCATACCATAAACATCCGACGCTGTACCAGAATCGCTATTTAAGTTTCCATTAGGATACGTCGGTGCGGCACTCGAAGGAGAACCACTTGAACCAGGGGAAGATGTTGGTGTAGTTGGAGTTCTTCCATTTAGATCTTCCATATTTTGTACATTATGTTCATAATATTTTGACGATTGAGCAAAACCATTATCACTTGGATTATTTCCATTGGAAGCAGATTCTAGTCCATTTAGCTTTGCTGTGACGTCCACTTTTAATGCAGAATTTAAATCAGTGTCATCTACATTATTTAGATCTAGTTCGTTGTTTGAATGTGTCTTCTGTGCGATTTCGGTATTTATACTTGTAGTAATAGAATTATCTTGATTATTTTCAATAGTTTCTGATTGAATAGTTTTTTCATATTTATATTGAGTAACTTGTTCATTTGACAATGATAATTCATTACTATTTAATGTTTGTTGTGTATCTGCTTGCTGTAATTAATTAAAAATTGTATGTTAATTTTTTTTTTCAATGAAAACATTTTCCAAATTAAAAATTATAGTATATTTTTCATAAGAGTAATCTGTAAGTTTATGTGCTTTTTACATACTTATAAATATATCTCTGGTTTATTTGATATTATTATTATCATATCAAATAAACCTTTGTATAATTATATTTTTGTTATTAATATTCCATCGTATAGTGCCAGAAATGTATATTTTTTTTTTAGATAGAGAGAGTTTTGGTGAATTGTTTAAAATAAGTATAAAAATTAGTTTTCAATAATAATAACGTTTTTTTTTTTGCAATTTTAAATAACTTAGTCTTAATATTTAAATAATTTTATAGGTAGAGGTTAATTTCAAACTTCTAGGTATGTGTATGAAGTGTATTTTTCTTTATTTTCTTCCATTGCATTTTTACTTAAATGATATGGATCTACAGATTATATTCTACTGTCTTGTAATTTTTCAATACCTATTTAGGAACGGCTTTAAAATGAAATTGTTTAGTGTTCATAAAAATATAATTTGCATGTGTATAATTGAAATTAAAAAACTTACTACTGCAACGACAAATGCTAGTATGCTAACTATCAATGTTTGTGAAAATAATATCATTCTAAAATGTAATAAAATTTCACAATACTGTAGTACAATATATTTTGTACATGTAAAATGTTTTAGCAACTGATACACACAAATTATTATTTATTATTTTATTTTTATTTCTATTGTAAATTTGTATCAGAAGTTATCTATATAAAAAAAAACAAATAAAATTATATACGCATCTGTATACAATGTTAATCTCATAAAATTGAACATTTTAAAATAATTACCATATTTTTTATTTGTTTGAATTAGTTGTAATTTAGGTCATTAAAACACATGTTCAAATAAATAATACAAGATATATTTTACATACCTGATTAATAATTACACATATTTTTTGGTCATATTACGTATACCCATTGCAAATAAGTTAAAAATGATGTAATTCAGCATAATACTGAGGATATATCATAATTAACCAATTTACAAATTAACTCATATTTATATTTTATTTGGAATTACATTTTTATAATGATCCGACAAAAGTATTTTGTTCATCAAATGGCACTGAATTTGTTTGATTTCTACTAATAAATTAAGCTATAAAACCATACCAGTCAAATATTTGTCTTTAATTCAACTTTTGTCCTGTCATGAGCAAAGCAACTTATGGTGTGTAAAATTCTATATTATAAACACATTTTAGGACATTTAAAATTATTTATGCAACTTACAAATATTTTAAATGCATTCTTTACATTTGAATGTTCATACTGCACATTCAAATAGGGGCCAGAAAGTTTGCGAAATAATTAACAAATATTTGCTTTGATTGTCCATTTTTCTAAAATCCTAGTGTATTAATAGGATGAATCATTTTTTCTATAGAACTAATTTGAAATTATATAATTAAATTATGATTCAAATTCAAATTCTGACTATATTAGTAAAAGTGAAGTACATAAGTAAAAAAAAATTTTATAATAACTAATAACTGTTACATTTCTATATTTTTAAATCAATACCCAACTAATAATGCCAATAGTCAACACCCACCACATGATATACTTTGTATACAGTTTGTGTAGCACAGGTTACCAAAATATGTCTCTAAGAAATTATAAGAGTCACAATTAATTGAACTTAATAAAATTGGTATTAAAACCAAAACTTTTACACCACCTACCTCTATAAGAAATTAGCCATCAAATTTTCCTAATTATTTCTTAAGGTAAGTGACAAAAGCAAAAATATTAGCATACCAAATTAGACCTAAGCATTTTCGCAGTGAAAAAAAACTGTTGGTGGACACTGGACCATTTATTGATGAACATTTAAAAAAATATTTTCTATATTTATACACCTGTCTATAACCTACACCTAATTCTTCAATGAGACAATAAATAACCATAAATGTCCTCATCTGCTACATTAGTTTACAAACCATATATCACCATAGGTGTATGATATATTTTATGAATTGGATACACTTAATTATAATTCTTTTCCAGGTAAATTTTCACCTAAGTTTGCAGGTACATACATTTCGTTGCATCATATAATACAATATCCTCTTTTTATTTAAACCACGAACATTGGAAAAGGAACACCAGAAGCCCTAAAGTGGTTTGAATTGTTTGAAATTATCGCATCCTCTAGAATTCAAGTCAGATAGTAATGATGTCGTTTTTTTCATATTACATACGGACCTAATTCCAACTGCAATTCTATATTAGTATATTATAATGTAGGTTAAACTGTCCTATTAACAGTAACTCTTACAATCACTACAGATAAATATTAGTCTTTACATAACAGTACCTACACTAAACATTTAAGTATTAAGACTATTTTTAAATTTATAGAGACTAGTTACAAAAAGATCTGTTTTATATTTATTTGCTAATTGTAACATCCAATAATCCGTGAATTTGAATTTAAAAATGTTGTAGCAGAGTTATGGTAGAATAAATAGTTATGAGTAACTCAGGTTTAACATTTTTAACATTTTAATTTTAAAATGTATCAATTATAATAATTCAGAAAAATCTGCATAAATTATTAGTTCATACAATAAGTTGACGTTGTAACTATAAGTATTAGTAAATTTTTAAATTTATATAATTGAGTAAATTTGTAAACGATTAATGTTAAGTTCTGTAGATATGGCAATTATGGGAAACTAAACGTAAGAATCGACTTTGAATAGACTGTAAGACATGTATTCAAGAAAGTTGATGTGCTGAAAAAAAGATGAATTATAATTTATTAGTTTATCAGTTTTTAAATGTAAAGCTGTTGTATTCAAGACCGTACCGGGTGGGGGAGGTTAGAACCTCGTCGTAAGATAACGTGTTTCAGTTATTTTAACAACAAAACATCTGTAAATGAAAAAAAGATTTTAATATATTATGTAGAATATGCATTTTTTTAATTCTTGAAAAAAACCATTGTATCAAAATGATTTTGCGAAACAAAAAAAAACTGAACCTGTTTGTTTTCTTTTTTCTAAACCATTATTTATTGTTTCTGGAAGGTGGAGTAATTGTAGAGTTGTGACTTGTGGAGTGGTGAGATTTGAATAGAATTAAAATTTTTGTATCTCTTCAATTGAATTAAAAAAAAATAAAAGACAAGTTTGTAAAGATTTTTTAAAAAGTTTGGAGAATGCTGTTAGTAAGCATATTGGTCTGTAATTATCTAGATTTGACTTATTTTTACCTGGCTTGCATAATTCAATTATTACTACTATTTCCCATCTAGTAACTTATAAGTAACCAAGTTGGCTGTTGAATAAATTTTTCAGAAAGGTTATTGCTTTGCTGGTGAATTTTTTTAAATATCAGAATATATGTTCCACACCAGGTGACTTCCTATTCGGCAATTATTTTATGTTGTTTTTAATTTCCATAGAGTTAATATAAAAATGCATATTTTTCACTGCAAAATCTTTCATTAATTGACTGTGTTTAACTGAATTGCATGTTGTAAACTATTTGACGTCTTTATAGGTTTAAATTTAGTTGCTAGTGTGTCCGCGTGATGTGGATTGTGTTGAAGTATGAAGGGGAAGAATACCATTACAGTCCTTATTTATTAGTTTTTTCGAAAATCTTTAAAGATTAAGATAAGCTTGGTGAATTTAAGATAGGTAATTTTTATATAACTTCATTCTAAAGTTTTCAAAAGTATCGCGTACTTCTAGACAATCCTATGGACGACTACATTGTCGACACAAGTACCTTGTCGTATGTTTCTGTTATATAAGATAAACTATTTTTTTTGAAATAGAATTGTTTATTGGACGTTTTTGAGAAGTATCTTTAATGCAATCTGGTTTGAGTAACCGTGACGAATCGACAGGGTAGTGGATGTCGTCACTAAGGGCCATCGCAGGCGTATTTTGAGAATTAGCCGAGCGATGATAATGGACTGTATATGATGAGGACAGAAAAGTGTAGGAACCTGGGAAAATATCACAATATTGTGCTCAAAAATAAAGGGTGTGTCTGAACTAAGGAAATATACCCCCCCCCCCCCCCCAATAACCGAATAAATGGATAACAACTATTCAAAGACTACAACTAATAATGATGTATTTCTGTTGTTGCAATTTTAAAGATGGTGACAATGATGGAGTTTTAAATAATTTGAAACATTTTTTGTACAATGAAATCTCCATTGATAAAGAAAATTACAATTGATCGATTCAACAGAATCCATTGAATAAATTAGAACAACCCGGAAGCACTGACAGTAGTCCCTGACTACTCTAAATAAAGAATACGTCAGTGGATAAACTATAAAAAAAGTAAAATTACAACAAGAAATTGTCCAGTTAGAATTTGAAAGATATAAGCCCCGGAAATTCTGATCTAATATTTTATTATTTAAGCTAGCTTATATCATTGATTATAAATACTAGTTTTTATAATCAATGCTAATATTTAGATCAGGGACGTCTAATATTTTATGAGGACTGGGCCACATCGCCCACATCTTGTGAGTAGAAGTTCTTGAGAGCAACACGCATTTTAATAATTATACATTCAAATGTAATGATTATATTTATAATGCATTAATACGTTTAATTTATAATTTTAGTTTTTTACCACAACGGGTAATAAGTAGCAATATTTTTACGAGTTATTTCATTTTATTTATAATTAAAAGAAAACAATTTTAAAAAATATAATAAAATTAATGTGAAATTTGAAGCTCCTCTTTTTGTGGAAGTAATGAATCAATATCCAGATCGATTAAAGTTGTGGCAATCCTCAAACAACAATCAAGGTGCTTGTCTCATAAAGAGAATCGATTACTATTCACAATTTTCATTCTTGAAAACAATTATTCAAAATATCCGTAATGCCGAAAAACAAGGACATGGTTATTGCGTGATCGTGAAAGTTTTGATATTATGTATCTTTGAATAGAGATAATCTATAAAAATTGAATAAGTATGGCAAATTAAATTTTACTCTAAGTTGAATATTTAACTGAAACTCAATAAATTGATTTTCAAATTTCGTTTCCACATCAGTAATATCAACCGAAAATGTTGCAAAAAAATAAGAAAGAGTTGACTATTCTAACGGAAAACTTGAAAACGGTTTTCAAGTTCAATATTAACAATTAAAATAATAGAAGCATATTTCTTGCTATTTTTGGGATTGTGAATAGGGGAGACGTATACAACTATTTTTACTTTGCCGTGATTGAAGTAAGGCAATCATAAGAAAATCATTACATATTACAAACTAATTTGTTTTTACCTTGAATATGCACGAATAACATATTTAAATGAGTACCTAGTTACGTCAACTGAAATTACTCAATCTATGAGCAAAGTGTGCATCATCAAATCCTATGATAAGTTCTCTATGACTCCGAAAACGACATATTTTAATTTCGCAAATCATAAAATTCAGCTAAATTTCCAACTATTAAGCCACCTTACTTCTGAAAAATAAACAGTTTATAGAATCTGCTTCCATGAGTCTAAGATATTCTTGGATTTAAATACATTATAAACAATAAATTAATGGCTTTAAAACTGAAGTGAGGTCATAAATATAAATCGCCGAGTTCAACAACACTATACAAGAACATAACCTTGAACTA